ACTCTCTCTCTCTCTCTCTCTCTCTCTCTCTCTCTCTCTCTCTCTCTCTCTCTTTCTCTCTCTGCCTCTACTACCCTCTTAACTCCCTTCCCCATGCCCCGAATAAACTGTATTCTATACTATACTGTCTGTGACTGGTCCCTCAGGGGTAAGGGATGCCTTGGCATGGGCCTGCTGAGACATCCCCCATACCTCACCACACATGCATAGAAAATATTATATATCTCTTTATCTTTTTATAACACATCAAAGACCCTGTCTCAAAATGTACAAAGAAGGGTGAGACCCATGCATTTATTTCCTTGACGTTCTGAAAAGTGACCTACAAATCGAATATCACAGGTAAAATACAGTAATGAATGCAATATTCTGTATTCTTTAGCACCCACAATGATAAATATGCTTCTGGTTATTTCATGTAAATACTGTAAAGTCAATAGCTACAACTGAAGTCTGTTTTTTGTTTTCCTAAGCAAATTTTCTACACTGGCTTCTTTTCTTTTACAGCTACACTGTCAGTTCCCAGGCAGCTCCATATGCATAAAGCTAAGGCTCCTTTGTAAAAAGGAGAGATTAAAAACACTTCCAGAAGTCTTGCTTTTCAAGTACTCATACCATAAGTGTAGTTGAATGAAGCAACAGTATAGCCAAATATAGACAGTATAAGCCACGAAACCTCACTCATGATTGGCTCCCACCTTTGCCCCAAAAGAACATTGCGGCTCAAATGCCGCAGTCCCAGGAAGTCTTGAAATCAACTGAAGGGTTTTTCAAATTCATTCTTCATCATTTCAGTTGGACCCCAGCCCAGTACAATTGGTGGGTAGAGTGGCCTGAGTCTCAGGTCCAGGGCTGACATTTTCAACCCTCATTTGACAGGACATAATTAGAGGAGAAGCCATACTCCAGTGTTGCTGACATTTGAGCCTCTGGAGTTTTCAATCCCAGCCGTGGATTGGATTTCAGTTTCTTTCTTGCGGCACTGCCAATTTGTACTGTTGTAAACTGAGTGGCCAGCAACCTCTGAAAAGGCAGCTCCAGCTTGACTGGTTTTCAAAGGCCCATTGAAAGCTCGGAGCTTGTAAAAGGATGTGTTCGATGAAGCTTCAGTTGACCCCTCTAGGCCGGAGCTGATAAGATGCTTTGCAGCTTCAGTTTCCGCCAAGTGCTTTAAAACACGGGTGTTTGTTTCGGGCCTGTGTAATTGTTTGTTATCTGTCCCACAGCAGTCCTTTTACCCTTGTGAACACATCATGAGTCCTTCACCCAACCAGCGCAGAAGCTCTGTAAGGATGAAGGCTATTAACCCCGGGTTCAGTTCACGAGCAACCTGAAGCCTCATTAGATTGCCATCTGTGAGAGATGTGTGCACCTAAGCCAAGGCTGTACTTCCCTTTCAACCATTTGCGCATGCCTTCTACGGCCTGGCTTCCAGGGTTTGGATAAACAGGAATTGAGCCCCAACTATCCCTGGGGAAGTGGCTAGCTATTATTATCACCAGTGGAAAAACAAACAATAGTTACACGCTACAGGGAACAGAGCCTGGTTGCCTTCACCTTACGGACCACATAACCCCCAAGTTCCACTAGCTTGCTTTTCTTTTTAACAGGAACAAAGTACAAACATATACGTGCCTTCTCACGGAAACTTCCAATCTTACTGATCACCCAGTCACAGACTCTGACTTCAATATGTGTGGGTTTGGGGAACGTAGAGAAATTTTGGATGATGTGCTTTTTCAAACTTACTTTGAGTTACTTCTGGACTGATGCCACTGTAAAAATCAGTGGCTCTGCCAAAGTCCTCATTTCTCTCCAGAAAGTACCACCAAGCCCACCTCTGACAAGTTTTCCCCTTAGATCTCAAAATCCCAGATATGGAGCTTTTCACCACCAGTTAAGACCACTGCATGGTCATTATCAGCCATAAATTCCGATGATCCTTTACTAACAAAAATAAATCGAGCCTAATATGGCCATAAATTAGTGTAGCCGATTTTGCTGATCTATCAGGCAACCCATTAACCTTGAATATTTTAATTCACAGATGTAGGTTTGGCTGATATTCAGAAATACAGTAAAAAAAAAAACCTACAGCCAGAGATATTCATTAGAGAAAAGTGGTCTGCCTCTTAAATATCCTCCAAAAACAATTGAAACACATGTTCTTATAATAAGCATAATTGTTAATAGTCATGTTCCAGAAGAATGAGAATATATGAGTAAAGTTTCTCACAACAAGTAAAAAAAAAAAAAGACGATCTGGGTGTGTCTGGGTTTGTTGAAAGAAAAATGTGTGTTTAAGAAAACATGTATACAAGGAGACCAAAACTATGTCCGAGCACTTGGGAGTCAGAGGCAGGAGGATCAGAAATTGAGAGTCACCCTCAGCTACACATCAAGTTTGAGGCCAGCCTTGTGTACATGGGGCTCTGCCTCAAATATAAAAGAAAAAATGCATCAGAATAGCAACAACGATTTCTCAGTAGCTTAGGGTAAAGCTTATAAAGGTTTAATGCCCCTCCCCAACAATTGAGCTTTTTCATATTGTCCAAATCCCCTATGTGTAAGTGTTTTTACAATGAAAAAGTCCACTTAGGAAAGTAATACCCCACACTAGCTTGCTGTTCCTTAATGAATTAATAATATGAGAAGGGAGAAGGGCAACATACTAACAGCCCAGAAGACACGATGGAGACGAGAATATCAGTCTTGCAACCATTTGAACTTTATTCACTCTTGCTTTAAAAAGAACTTCCATGATTACATATTCCATGCACCCTGGAAAAAGCCACGACTTTCACATTCAGACTAGGGAATAAAAAGCTCACCCAGGCAGACTGCGATGGAGGTGGCTGTTCTTGCATTCTAATTGAGGGACTATGTGCCTCAAACCATGCTCCTGACAGATTAAGAGAATGAGGAAATCACCAGCTGCCAGAGCACAGAGAAGGAAGGGACCAAGCGAGGGTGGCTGGTGGCTGGCTGAGACATCCTTCTGTTTTCTTGAGTTAACATAGGGGAAGAGAAAGCCTCCAGCCATTACGCACAACTTAGCGTGCATGCAAGCAAATGCTGCAGCATTCAAGGGAGGGGCCCTGCAGGCCCAAAAAGAATGCCTATTTTGGGACTTGTGGTTGTGACCACAGTGTTCTTCTACCTTCAGTAAGCTGCTCATGTTGTGATTAGAGCTTTGATACCAATGGCCACTGGGTGACAAGATGCTAATTCTTTTTTTTTTTTAAAGAGGTGGTGATGTTTTGAGACATGGCCTCAAGTAGATTATGTAGCTGAGGATGGCCTTTAAGCC